CGTCGTGCATCTATATTCTCACGTTGCTGTTAATCTTGCGGCAGGATCAGGTTTTATATTTATTCAGCTATAAGTAGTAGTAGGTAAGTGAATGAAGCAGAACGAGGGAGGGAGGGAGTCTATTTAGTTAGTTGTTTTGTTATATAGATTGTAGATGTTAATGATGTTGTTGTTATTATTGTTGTTGTTAAGAACTGTTGTTTAGAGCAGACAATGAATTTATTCGACTTTTCATGTATGTGTTGTGTATATCTTATAATACGATATTTTGTTCACAATGATTCGACGACGTTGGTTGTATTATATGTTTGAGCTGCTGACTGATTTCGTGTATGTTCGCGTATGTATTTTATGTGTGTGTGTGTGTTTGTGAAGTGAACAAATTCGGATGGATTCATATCTTTCTTTGGCTGTATGATGTGGCTGATTGGCTGCGTGGATGATGGTGATCGGATTGCTGCTTGCTGCGTTTGCTGAAACAGTATGTATCGAATAGAATAGAGGAATATCATCGTTGTTGCTGGTGCTGCTGCTGCTGCTGCATACCTACTAAATAATGCCATCGTTAGCAGCAGTAGAATTGGGCGGTGTATTTTGGTTAGTAGTTGTTGTGTACGTATGTACGTACGTAGTCGTCGTATATGTATTTGGTGTGGTCGTTCGTTTGAAGACGACGAAGTAGAAAATAGTGTAGGAAAGAGGAGTTAAGATGGGAGGGTAAGGAATGCGAAGTGGGAAGAAAGACATGATGAAGAAAGGATGGATGGACGACGGATGGGAAGAGCGATGAGGAAGGAAGGAGGAACGTTGTTCGTATTGCTGCTGCTGATGATGATTTGGATGTTTGTTTGCAAGGATGCGGTCTTTCGCGGTGCCGGTGGTGGCTGTTCAGAGGAGAGGGATTTGGAAAGGAAAACGAGACGACGGGTCGGCAACGGGCAGGTCGTTTGGTTGGGTTTTGTTGCGTTTCGGTCGTCCTATTTTTGTTTGCTATGTCACCGTCGTCATCACTGTCATGACCATGCTGGGTGGCATGATGGAACGAGCATGGATCGCCCACAGGAGAGAGGCTCGGATCATGTTGCATCCAACGTGCTGCATATTTCGTTTGTACAATGATCAAGACGACCTAAGGTGTTGATCACCTCGTGATTAAAGAG